TCAGCAGCGGCTGACTTGGGGACACCTGGGGTAGAGCAGCTGGGGTGCTGCCGGGTTGGTCCCCGCAGCGCTGGTCCCCGCAGCGGCTGAATCTGGACGCCAGTTCCGTCTTACATACAAATTCAACTTAAGAACAAACCTACATTCCCTATCTTGTACGTAACCCGGGGATTGCCTGTATAGCATATTGAGGCTATATACTGTGAGACTGAAACCAGGCCTTTGAAAAGGCACAACCCCTAGCCACTTATGATAGAGTAATTCATTTAGTTTAAGTAATAGGCTGTTACAGTAGCAGGAAGCTAGCAATAACAGACAGACACAGTCACATGCATTAAGAATATTTTATACTGAGTAAACCTTCTGAGAATGCATTGCTCAATCAAATGCTATTTGACCACAACATATGCTTTTTTGATGTATTTTGTTAATGAAAGATTTCAAATTTTGGGCCTGCTCTTACTCTCATTTAAGTCAATGGCAACACTCCGATGGACATCAATAGGAGATGGCACAGACCCTCTAAAAATAAATTAAGATTAACAACAGGCTACCCTGTCATGGAGCATATGAATTTAATGAAAAGCAGTGGACTATGGTGAGAGTTGTGGCAGCCCTGGCACAGATAAATCTGATCTTTAAAAGAAATCATATTCGAATTTGCTGTTGTGATTCTTTTGGGAGAACAAATTCATTTCCAAGTTCACTTCAGTGAGTGAGGGAAATTTACATCAGTTATTGATCACTGCTAATGAGGCTGCAGAGGCACAGTTTGTTTGTTTTTTGTTTAAACAAATATTTGATTATATTAAACATTATAAATACATATTTACCTATCAAATATTTTGTTTAAAAATGTGTTCAAAAAATCCTCTTCATACACATGGGTAAAGCTGGCAAGATGTGCTCCAAGATCTTGGCATAATTCCTCTGCTTCATCCCATGTTCTTTTCTTCAAAACTTTCTCATAGTGAAATACCTGCATATAAGGTAAGTATCACCACAAATTTAAGAACAAAATTAATTTGGGGTTGGTAATACACATGATTTTATTTAAAAAGTGCATCATGCCCTTGCCATAAAAGGCATTTTGCCAGGTCTGTGTCTGACACTAATCTTTTATTGGCTTTCATTAACTTTGAAATGCTTTTAGAAAATGTAGAATTTCAAATTTAAATGAATTTAAATTTTCTTTAAGCAATGTTGTCAGGAAAAGGAGGTAAAAACCTGGTACAAATCAAGAGATTTAGGTAACCCTGCTTTACCTTGTAGCAGTTGAGCAGGTTAGAATCTGATTCCCACCCAGGATAACATGCATCTGAAGGTTCTTCAAAATTAGGCTGATTTTCTTCATATGAGTCCATTTTTTGCTTACACAATGACATAGCTTTGAAGCTTCTACAGTTTTTCACTTCCCAGTAACCAAGAGGTTGCCCTCTGCGAATAACAACACATCCTCCAGAATGGCCTAAGGAAAGGAAAACAAGAATATTTAGTATCAGAACAAAACATTATATGCTCAACCAGGAGATAGTTTTATGAATTAGTAGTGGGCACCTTTTTCTGAGGTACCCTAAGGTATAAAATGAAAGAAGATTTAAACCATTTTCCCTAATAAACTCAAGGTGGCTGATGTAAAATCTTTTATTGGACAGTCAGTTAAATAATCATCCAACTGTAGGTTTTACTCTTTGAACAACAATATGATTACACTGAGAACTCATTCTGGAGTGAGTATTTCATTGACATCAGCTGCCAAGACAGGAGCGTATAGGTTTGGTGAGTTTATAAAAGCAGTGGGTTTTTTGTTCAGTGATCAGTTTATTGTTCTATTTTGGATGGATTCAGCTGGTAAAATAGAGGATTATGACAATGGATTCTTTGATAAATGGAGGGAAAGAGAATGTGATTAATCAAGATATTTTTGCAGCATGCAACCTAGAAACAAAGAGGGTCCAAAATTTTCCAAGTATGACAAGTAATTGAGTGCCTCAGTTTTTACATGCCTAATCTGAGTAGGGATGTTAAGAAGTGGGTATTTCACTAATCACATAGTCAAGAGAGTTTTTATCGACTACATGACTAGTTGATAAGGAAAGGATCTCAGTCTTGGCTCGCACCAGGTCCAAGAGCTACCCCCACGTGGCTCTGCAGTTTAAATGTAGTAAGAGCTGAGTGGGCAGGCAACCTGGCTCCTACTACATTTAAACTGCAGAGCCCACAGTGGGGATATCTCCCAAACCCAGAACGAGCTGGGATTGATTCAGGCTTGCTCAGTCCTGGCTCGCACTGGGTCTAGTAGCCTGTGCCCATGTCCAGTCCAGGCCACCACAGACAGGGGCTGCTTCATGCCAGCAGCCTCTGTCTGCGGGGGATCCCACTACGGACAGAGGCTGCTCCGCGGGCAAAGGCTACTTCGTGGAAGCCTCCCCTGCCTCTCCCCCCCCACACACGCACACTGCTGCCTCTATCAGAGGCAGCAGCATGAGGGGAGGAGGGACAGGCAGCACAGCCTTGACTGTGCTGTGTGGAACCGCCTCCTGCTCCTCCCCCCGTGATGCCTCTGAGGGGTGGGGGGTAATGTGAGTAGTCCAGTAGTTGACTACATGACAACTTGCTTATATCCCTAAATCTGAGACTCCTTGAAGTGGCCACAGTTTCAAAGAATGGGTATTCAGATTTTTCAAAATCCAGGCCTCTTTTTAAGGTAACTCAAGGGACTTAAAAAAAAAATAAAAATCTTGGGACATTTTTTATATTATTATTATTGTCTACAAAATATTTACATTTTTATTTTATTCAAAAACAATTTGCTCTGCTGTCAATCACTAGGAACAATGATCATCAACACTATAGTGTTTAGAAAAGGGAACAGGAAAATACTGCCAATCAGTTAAGGCTTTGTTCTCATTTCCAAAAATTAATCTTAAGTCACCTTTTTTCCATTTCATTGGACCAAGTGCACATTTTTGAATTGTGAACTGCTGAATAAAAATTGGGACATTTTCTTTTGTTGGGAGATCCTCCACATCCCTGGTGGAGGCCCAAGCTTGTAGGTACACTAAAACTCCTGACAAATGCCATAGATGACTAAAGGAAAAACTCCAGGGACCTAGAAGGACAAGAAGCTCCCCTAAGTGGGGTGTGCTTCCCCCAGAGCACTTGGAGCTCCAGTAGGCTGAGGAGTGAGAAAGAAGGACTTGAAAATGAATATAGGTCTGAAATGATTGTGATGTGACCCTGAGACTCCATGGAATGGTTGAGACTGGAAGTAAATGGCTACATTATTACAGTCACACAGGGGAGGGAAAGCAGAGGCTATTTGCCTGATACCGCTGACTGTGAGCAAAAGGGCAGAGATTGAGCTGAGTGTAGGAGGTTTCTTGGTCACAGCCACACCTTCCCATCTGGCCAGATTACCTGTCTGGGTGCACAGTGGACAGTACTTTGCTCATGGGGAGGTGCTATTATGTGCCATCCCTTCCTCAGGGCAGACTGTAAAGTTACAGTCTGTTTCAAAGTGAGCATAATACTACACATCCCTTGGGCAGAGTGAAGAGGGGAAAGTGATGTTGGCTATGTAAAAAGGGTGGCAAAATAATCCTGGCTCAAAAACATAGTGGTAGACAATAGAATTTAATGAGAAGTTGCCTTTTATCTCTATAATACATTACTCACTTGGCTGATACTTGTTCCAGTTTGTATAGCTTACAGGCTGATTCTTCCCCTCTGTAGTAAGCCAGGAGTATTCTCCTGTATTGTTAAGGTCTTGTAGGGCTATCCAAAAATAGGTGTTATCAGTTTCTACCATTCTACGAATCATACTGTTGATAAAAGCTTGTTCAAATCTTTAAAAAGGTCAAGATAAATATTTTGTTAGAATAAGATACCTGAATTCACACTTCAGTGAATAATTCTCATGAAATATTTTGAATGCACAAGAGAAAAATATTCAAGACATCTACTTGTCACAACCATGTTTTTTCAGCATTTCATTTGGACCCTCCAGTGGTTGTAGGTGTCACATCAGGACCAAGAATTGAAACAATAAAGAAAACTCCCTGTTAATTACTGCTTTCACAGCTAGTGCAATACAGTACTCCAGGAATCCAGTATCTGAAACAATGATAATGTGTAGTAATGAACAGTTTTTGCACCAGTGCCTCCAGTGAGATGCTATATAACCTCTGTGCCCATTGATGCTAATAACAGTTGTAGAATTGTAGAGGTTCAGCAACTGCAGGATCATTCCTTTGTATTCACATGCATTACCATTCTACTAAGACATTAATTGAGTACTGGAGACAATATAGGGAATCACTGTCCTAGCAAGAAAAATCTCCATCAATCTAACTCCTGGATTTTTAAATCCATCCTACTGAATTATTCTCTTGAACCTGATGTTGCTGTCATTTTTTCAACTGATGTGATTTCTCATACTTTATTCCCCCCTGCCACTGGTGTTGGGGGAATCTATTCTTTTCCAAAAAATGAGCAAGCTCACATTTGGATGCTAATAGAAACTGTGTTATAAATGGTTCTTGCCTCCCACCTGCATTCAATAACCTGCTTTAGAATGGCTAGGGATTCTGTGGATAGCCTAACCTTAGTTATCTTGAGAATTTATATTTATTATTTTTCTCCGGAATAGTATTATGATGGGACATTCTTACCCTATATGCATACAATTCCCTATTCCTCCACATCCAGGATCAAGTAGATTTCTAATGTCTAGTTAACATTTTTCAATTTTGAAAAGATAAATAGACAGAAGAGAAGAGGTTGACCAAACACAAAGAGGTCTCTCAATGGTAACAAATGCAGGATATGAGTAAGCTTTGTTAATATTTGTACAGAAAGTTCATGTATGTAAATAATGATCAAATAAAAAGGTTAATAAAATATTTCCTTATATTTGAACATTACTTATTTAGAGATTGATCCCGTTTGGTGCCATGCACTCCAGTCCTAGTCTAGCAAAGCACTGAAAAATGTGCTTAATTTTAAACAAGAGTAGTTCTGTTAAAGTCAAGACTATAGTTCAGTGTTTTGTTGGAGTGGGGCCAGAGTAATTAGGATCAGGGCTTTACAGATCTACCCTGCAAAGCAATCTCAGTTTCCAGTAACACAGGTATGTGTCCATATGTAATTCATCCATAGAGCAGTAATGGTAGCAATTGCACAGAGAGGAGCAAAAAAGGAGACACAATAGCAGGGACTGGTGACCCACATTTCCAAGAATTGTATGAAACCATAGCAGGGTGAGCAGGAAACCACACAGGGCACAAGGATGTAAGACTGGAAAAATGGGGTGGAAATGGAAATGACACACAAAGCCCTGCATAGCTCCAACTCCACCCTGAGTCACCATGGTGGTCCACCCTGTCTGGGAGTAGGGAGGACACAACCAAGAAATCAGGGGGCATGTGATCCCATGTCTCCTCCCCCAAATTGCCTCTGAGGGGAAAAATAATAAAAATGGTAGGGGGCGCAAATATGCTTGCTTTCCCCTAGTGCTAAAGGGCCTAGTTGTGGTACTGAATAAATCAATTCCATGGGTCAACTTTAGAGATCAGTTACCCAACTGCATCTTTTGGCAGCCTAATGAACTCATATAAAATTGATCATTTTATTGCTCCTACAGTATAAAATAACAGAAAAGAATTGGATACTGGGTTAGAACATGAAAAATGGTGTCCCATCAGGCAATTCTTCCTCAGACTCCCTAAATGTTTCCATGAAGCAGGTGTGCTCACAAGCTCTGTTAAAACTGGCATTTTCCCCAACTTTTCCACACAGCTAATTTTGGATGGAATCCAAAATAATGCATTTATAATAAAATAATCCATTTTGACAAACTAAAAAAACCCTTTTACAACATTGGCACCTATGAATCACTAGCCAGGAGTGTATCAACACTAATACACTTTGTCACTGATTGAAAATTATCAACTCCCCCCCCCCCAGCTTTCTCCACTGGCTACACAGAAAGCAGGGCTGATAAAATCTAATTTCTCTGATTTTTTTTTTAAAATTGCTTAAATGAAAATAAAATGTTCCAATTGATAAACTGTTTCAATGGAAATTTTTCTCTTTATTTTGTAAAAAAAAAAAAAAATCCTAAAGGCAAAAATGCTTTCATCTAAAAATGATGCCTAGTTCTTCACAGGAGTCTGATCAAGGCATTTAGCCTATAGAGGAGTATGGAAACTTGGGGGACTTCAAGAATTAAAACCACTACTCCACACTGGGAAGCAGTATGGTGGCATTTCTGAAGTGAAGTATTTTGGATTTTGATTTTTTTCAACAAAAACCTTGCAATTTATTGTGGAAAAAATGCCCACGTATTCTGATAATTTATAATATAAACCAATAATTTCTTCCTAAAGAGTCATGTAATAAGTGCATTATAGATAAGAATATGCATAAAATAACTATTTTTGGTTCATTTGTCATAGACTTAGTAGGAGCGTATAGAAAAGGGGCAGTATTGGATCCTAACAGTATATAAAATAGAACTAATTCATAACAAATCCAGGCATGTAGGTATCTACAACTAGGAAAGCCTGCTGCTGGAGTTAGACTATAGAGAGGAGAAAAAAAGAGGAGATGGAGAATTTAAATATTTTTCATATCAATATTTTTCTTTTTTGAATTGCTAAAAGATCATAGTAAATGCAAAACTAACAGAAAATAATGTAACAAAATGATAATTGTTTTATGTTTAAGAGCCTTTCATAAAGTTTAGCAAATAAAGTCTAGATGTATTTCAATTTATTAGCACTATGACCAAGTACACCATTAAAGAAAGCTTCCTATGCTGAACACTCCATAAATCTGTGTATAAGACATTAAAATATCTGAAGTATTGCATGCTTGAATAAGTAAGTGTTCATATCAACTAGATCAGTAATTGCACTCTACCAAATTTAAACCTGACTTAGGAAGGAAACAATGACAAAACGAACATTTGATTTTAGTCAGTCATTAATTTGTGTGGTATTATTTATAAATACTAACATTTTTCTCTATGCTTTTTTATAATTAGAATAACATTTGTTAAGAATATCTTTGAACTATCTAATACGATTAACTACCTGTTTGTTACTGTTACAAGTGAAGGAGGACAGTAATAGCCACTGGAAGCATGTTCAAAACTTCGAGGGGTATTGTCGATTTTGTAACAATATCCACCATGTCTCTCCCATCCCTTAAAAAAAATAAGGGTTATTTATATATATAATAAATATGCACAGTTGGTTTGGTTGTCAAGCAAACGACCCATGTTTTGACTTTCTATGTAACCACCACGAATGTTACCCTACGTACTCCTTTCCTTTTTGCTGTTCTGGAGTTCTTGTGGCCATACCTGACTGACAGTCTGGGCTTTCAGTAGCCCTCAAGTTCCTGCCATCATGTGATGAAATATTCAGCTCATAAATGGGAGTTATTTTTCATCTACTTTAAAATGAATACATATACAAGAAAGGAAAGGATTACTTATTGAAATATGGCTGATATCACTGACTCTGCTTTGTAAAAACAAGAAGCTAATAATAAGTAAAATACCAATATTCATTTTTTTAAAAAAGGGACTGTTGTGTCTCAGCAGGTAGGTAAATAGATGTATTCCCATTTGACAGAATCAAAAACTGAGAATATAAATCTATTACACATGACAAATATTACATGAAAAGTTTATTTTATGATCTTTGATTTGTAGCTTGTAGGTGTAAGTATTTGCAAGGTAAAGCATAGATATAAATCAAGGCATTAATACAATAAACTGACAAGCCTCAAGCCTTTCAAACAATAGATTAGCTAAACTAATCAAGATCTAAGTCCCAAAAGTCCTTAGCTTTAATAGCTAACCAGGAGTAATCCTAGACCATAAAACATCACCATATCACAAGACAGAATACTGTAATAAACAAGTATGACTGAACTGCAAACAGCTAACCATAACATGCCAGTTTATACCAACTTCAGATAATTTAAATTAGGAACATCAGCAGATATCCAACAACAAAATGCAATAGTAACTAATTGATATATTAATGAGCTTTAGGTAAAAGGCCCAGTAACTTGAAAGGGAGAAAGGTGCCCCTACATTAGCAGAGTGAGGAAATACAGATAAGGAAAAGGGTCTGAAACTCCTACTGAATATGCATTACGCAAAAAGGACAAAAACTGTATCTTGGCCAGTGGCAGATTAGCCACAGAGGCAAATGGGGCCTCAGCAAAATGGCCTGCTCCATTTACTTGGAGCACCTGCTGGGAGAGCAGGGCCAGGGTTGCCAGGGAGCAGGGCCAGCCCCCTTGCTCCAACCTCACTCTTTTGCAAGAGCACCAGGGGAAAAGGGATTGCAGGTGAAAGGGGCAAGGAGGGGACCCCACTTGCTCTGGCTCAGAACCCCACAAAACCATAAGTCACCTCTGATTCTGGCCAGTGTACCTGTGGAGAAGCCAGGAAGATGACAACTGGTGATGATGGCGAGGATGACTCACACTTGTTTTTTCTGCAGGGAGTGGTGTGAGTTTATGGATGCTCATATGTGGGGTATTTTGACCATCTTATATTATTTGTCTGCTTTTCTGGGTTGGAGTGTTTGTAATTTATAACAAATATTTCAAGGACAAATCTTTAAATGACTGCTTCTTACAACAACTTCTGGAACCCACAAGAGGAAAGGCAATTCTTGATTTAATCCTAAGTGGATCACCGGATTTGGCCCAAGAGGTGAATATAGCTGGAAATATTAACCTTAATATAATTAAATGTAACATCCCTGTGGCGGGAAAAACACCAAAGCAGCCCAGCACTGTGGTGCTTAATTTCAGAAAGGGGAACTACACAAAAATAAGGAGGTTGTTTAAACAGGAATTAAAAGGTATAGTGACAAAAGTAAAATCCCTGCAAGCTGCATGGAAACTTTTTAAAGACACCATAATAGAGGCTCAATTTTAATGTATATCCCAAATTTAAAAAGTACAGTAAGAGAACCAAAGAAGTGCCACTCTAACTTAACAACCAAGTAAAAGAAGCAGCAAGAGATAAAAAGGCATTGTTTAAAAAGTGTAATGTAAATCCTAGTGAGGGAAATAGAAAAGAGCATAAAGTCTGTCAAATGACGTGTAAAATTATAATTAGGAAGGCCAAAAAGGAATTTGAAGAACAGCTAATCAAAAGCTCAAAAAGTAGTAGCAAAAAAAATTATTATTTTTTAAGTACGGAAACAAGCAGGAATCCTGCTAATCAACTAGTGGGGCCACTGGACGATCAAGATGCTAAAGGAGCACTCAAGGACAATAAGGTCATTGCAGAGCATTTAAATGAATTCTTTGCTTTCAGTCTTCACAGCTGAGGATGGGAGAGAAGCCTCCTGAATGGGGAATGGAGCGAGTAGCCCTTGCCTGCCCAGTTTGAGCTACGTCAATTGTGTAGCTTAAGTAGAAAGAGCTTATTTTGGTCCGAGAAAGAACACTCTTCCTCTGACTTCCCTTACTCCTCGTAAAATGAGGGTTACAAGAGTCGGAGTAAAAAGTCCTTCAGCTTGACATTATTTTGCCATTATGTCAAAATAACTGCTTGTAGTGTAGACATGCACTATGTTGTTTTTTTAATAACATCAGTTATTCCTAAATAACACTGCTGTGTAGACATACCCTTACTATATTAAATTAGGCATTAGTTGTGTTTTACTTTTTTTTGTACCCATTTCTGACTTTTATGTCTTATTACTTGTGGTCACTTGAAATCTTTCTGTAGTTGATTTATTTGTCTTATTGTTATAAACCTGTCTCTTTGGACTGTAGCATTTAGGAAACTCCATTTGGGATAACAAGATTTGTGCATCGTCTCATTTTCTATTAATAAAATGGAGAGCTTTATATGTGATTATATTATCCAGGAGGGAGTGGGCAGTACAAGACATACATTTCTGGGGAATGGCTGGGCCTGGGACTTTGCTGGTGTTGTTCTACAGTGTAATTAAAGGGTGACTGTCTATAGCACTCATCCTATATAACAGTGAGTAACTTACATGCTGGAGGCTGTGTGAGAGCAGACCAAGAGTAGTAGCTCTTATTGTTTAACTGACCTTATTTGGCTAAATGTGACCTAAACTCCTTCTGTAGACCAAGCCACAGGGAAGCAATGTAAATGGACAATCCAGACTGAAGAACTGGGAACACAGCTGTGCATCAACCCAGATTATACGTTATCATAGTATTATATGTTGCAGCTGTATTATTATTATTTTAAATTGAAGGTGCAATGTTTACTTAATACTAAAAATGGCTCCAATGCTGATCTTTGATTAAAAAAAATCATCCTCCTTGTTATTTACCTCATATAATTTTCTTGCTTTGTTTTCAAATACAGCAATATGTTTAATTTTCTTCAGTTATTTTTTAAAAATGCCAATAAGCACAGGATAAAAACAATGATGCACATTAAAGCTATTACACAGGTCTAATTTCCTCATCCAAGATGTTCATATAGGGGAAGAGTTGACACAGCTTTTGTAAAGGGAAGTCATGCCTCACCAATCTACTAAAATACTTTGAGGGTATCAACAAGCACATGGACAAGTGTGATCAGTTGATATGGTGCAGTTGGACTTTCAGAAGCTTTTCACAAACTTCCACACCAAAGGCTCTTAAACAAAGAAAGCAATCATGGGATAAGCGGGAAGGACCTCTAAAGGATTAGTACCTGAGCAAAAGATAGTAAACAAGGGTAAGAATAAATGATCAGCTTTCACAAATGGAGAGTGGTACTGGGACTGGCACAGTTCAACATATTCATAAATGATCTGAAAAAGGGGATAAACAGTGACATGGCACAATTTGTAGACAGTAGAACATTACTCAAGATGGCTAAGTCCAAAGCTGATTGTGAAGAGTTACAAAGGGATCTCACAAAACTGGGTCACTAAGTAACAAAATAGCTGTAGAAATTCAATGCTGACAAGTGCAAAGCACTTCACACTGGAAAACATAATACCAATTATACAAACAAAATGATGGGGTCTAAATGTTACCACTCAAGAAAGATCTTGGAGTGTCTGTGGACAGTTTTCTGAAAACATCCACTCTACATTCAATGGCAGTCAAAAAAATTTAAAAAATGTTAGGAACTATTAGGAAGGGGACAGATAATAAGATAGAGAATGTCACAATGACACTGCACATGTCTATTGTACACCACAACTTGAATACTGCATGAAATTCTGCTTTCTCCATCTTAAAAAGATTTATTAGACTTGGAAAAAGTACAGAGAAAGGCAACATAAATGATTAGGGATATAGAATTGCTTCCATATGAAGCACATTTTTGCAGTGTTTTGCAGATTTCCTTAGAGATTAAGGACTGAAGTATCAGTTACAGAGTGAAAGTTTTGTGAGAAATGTTCACCCACAGATTAACGATCTTGGGAGCTTAAATTCATAACTTTGCTAGACACTAACAATAATAGTACATTACAACAAATTATAACTCACTTACACTTCTCCCAAACTACCTCTGCCCCCTTCTTTCCATTATTTCACCCTACCTCCTCATGACTGGAGGGGTGTTAACAGGTCACTTAACCTTAAACAATCTCCTAAAATATATGTTAATTATTTATGCTAAACACTCTGTTCCATCTTGTATTTAACTGTGAGACTGAGTATATTTCCTCATACCTGAAGAGCTACGTGTCAGCTGTAGAGCTTATCTCTGTCACCAACAGAAATTGGTCCAATAAGAGATATTATCTCTCCCACTTTGTCTCTCTATATAATTTTTGTTCATCAATTGTACTTGCCATTCTGGCCCTTAATACATCTCCTTCTTTTCTGTGTTATTTTCTGCAGGCATGGTAACATTAATAATATGAATACCAGGGAGATGGGCCCTTTTAACCACAAGTGCCAAGAAGCAAATAAGAAAAATGCCTATTTTAATGCTATACTAGAGTAGTTCTGAACATGTCAATTACATTACCAAGGACCATAACTGCTCATGATGATATGCATATGATATGCTGTTGTAGCTGTGTTAGTCCCAGGATATTAGAGAGATAAGGTGGGTGAAATAATATGTTTGACTGAACCAACTTCTCAAAAACTTCTCTCTCTCACACTAACAGAAGTTGGTCCAATACATGCATTACCTCTCTCATTTTGCCTCTCACCTATCTCTTCCAACAAGTAACTGAGGGT